ACTCTTTCCGTCCCCTGCCAACCTTCCCTTTTCTCCCCACCTCAATTAGATTAAGAACAGAACAATACAATGAAAGTCTAAACTACGTGTTAATCTAGAAGCTCGTAGTTAAAATAGGACTTCATTTGGACTGATAAATGTCTATCCAACGTCCTCAGTGAAATTTTGTTGATTTACACCTGCTGACCAAGCTAGGCTTCTGCTTCTCATTCAGTGTTCCAGTATAACTCTTCCTCTGTTAGTGTCATCTCAATCTAGTTTTCAGTACATCATTTATTTGCTTGTAGCTTTGCTGTATATGCTACATATATAACTCGTGTGCTAGCTATAGCAAAGATGCTGACTTGGCAGTTAGCAAATTGCATGCAGCATTCAAATTCCTTTTCTCTAGGAGATTATAAATAAATGCCCTTTTTGAACCAGGTCTGGAGTAATGAATAATTTCATGGTATCTAACAATAACTAATTTGAGTCCAAAATGTGTGACCTGCCACTGCCTCTCTTACTCTCTCACAAGGATGAAAAGTTTGGTAAGACAGCACGATGCATGCTCTTCTTTCCATGGCATGATATTACAAACATTCAATTAAATAATAAAGACAACCTACCCTGCCTCCTTAGTGTAAAAAAGAGTATTTGTCTTAAAATGTAAACTGAGTCCTATTAACAATCCCCTGGAAAAATGCATTTAATCACAGCATTCCATGGGAATACTAATGAAATAAAAATTAGTTGAACTTTCCAATTAATCCTTTCAGGATTCCATACCATTAGGTAGGAAAAACAGTGCTGTTTTGTCTTAATAAAGAGGTCATTTGTTTTGTCAACGCCAAAGAGAATATTTAATGAGCTTCAGAAAAACATGCAAGTATCTTTATAACTAAATTAAACTTTGCCTTAATGCAATGAAGAACAAGTACATACAGTCCCTACATATGTCACATTATTTTTAAATACAGTTTTGAGGTGGGACACCCATTTGGTATTTGAATATATTTACCCTAAATACAGTTATAGGAAAAAGAGTGCAGGGAAAGCTGCAATGGGATGGTTCAGAGGTAAGTGCAGATGAATCAGCTAACAGTTAATGTTACCAGAACACGGCTATGCCCTCTACTTTATCTGCATATTGTGCTGAGGTCTTAATGGCATCAATCATTAGGCTATAATTTATTACCACAATAGTTATCTGTCTTATTTCCAGACATTTTCTATTCATACATGGCAGACCAACAGGCAAATGACTGCTCTGTTATCGTATTTACATATAACTAGTTAAAGATGATGATACAGGAGGAATTTTCTATTCCCCCGTGACTCAAAAGGGAAAGTTCTCCTTCAGAAGAGCAACAGGAAAGAGGCCCAGAACCGTCTTACTTGCATGAGCAGAAAGTTCCCACAGTTCATCAGCAGCTTCTGTTGGCTATCTATGGGTGCTGGAGTCCTCCTATGGAGTGTACAGTCACTTGATTTTATTGAGAAATCCATCCTGCAATTTACATTTCACTCCTCCACTTTGGAGCCTTGCAGTTTTATCAGATGCTTTCATTTTGGATTAACATTTTTTACAGCTGCCATCATATGGGGAGGATTCTTTTTTTCCCCTTTTTTTTTAGGATTGAGCAAAATCTCTGCAAGGACTCCTTTAAATTCCAGTAAATATGGAAATGAATGCTCTGACTTGTATGAATATTCATACTTGAATTGGCATAGTTCAGAAAAGGTGAAGTTAGAAACCTCAAAGTTGGCTTATTTCTAGTCTTCATTATACAAGATAAAACAGTGCTATTATGAATACCTAATTCCAAAATTCTGCATATACATGTTTATGCATACATGTAGCATTTAATTTTAGGAAGATTTGAAAATGTGAAATATAATTTAGGATATAAAAGTGAAAGATAGCCTAGATATTTTACACTTTTGAAAAATTCACAAACTTTTTTTGTACAAATATGAATCACAGAGGAGCATATTTTCCCATCCAAGGAATTACTTTCAGGATTTAAAAATAGGTAAGTATATCTCCATTTTGAACCATTCTTAATAATTCTTTGAATTCTTTTATATCATATTGTTCTTGAATCTAACATAGTCTTTCTCAGTATTAAATAACAGGTTTAATAATGAATTACAGAAGGACTGTTAAAATATTTACCATTCATATATAATGATATGTCATTTTTTACTTCATAATAAATATCAGATAGTTTTAATTCTTTAATGCATTTGCCCAACATAACATTCTGCTGAAAACAGTATTGCATTTGATTTTGCAATAGATCTTAATTTATTATACCAATTATTGATTATATGGTGGTTATCAGGTTTAAAGGGTCTCCCTTAACTGTGATATAAAGATCTGAGTCTTCCATCTCAAATGTGGACCAGTCATTGTTATGTGGTACCCAAATTTAGTAGCACTTTCTTACTGTAGTATTAGTGATTTGGATTAGACTAATCTATGTAAAAGAAATTTTGACTTTTACACAACATGCCTATTGTGTGGAAACTAGCTGGAAGTTATTCTTCAGAAAAAAAGCAAGTAGCAATTTTTAAATAAGTTTTCATTGTGTGGCAAGTTATAGAAGTTTTGTAAGGAGTAAGTTATCTATTTTAAAATTAATTTTAGCTTCTGCCATTTCAGTTTTCAATTTTCAATTAAGCATATTCCCATGGTTTATCTTCCACAGTTGTCTTCAAATTCTTAGCCTGTGATTGATGATTCAGAATATAATCTTGAGAAAGGTTTACCATGAGATTCATGTACTCTTACAGTTGTTTCTTTGAAAACTGATTATTTATAATTTTTCTTGTTCATTCTTTTTTTTTTTTTTGACATTAGTTAATTTGGCCAGAGAGTAGTAATCACAAAATTCCTACTGGATGAGTAGGGAAGGAGAAAATATTTTCAAATATTCCTGTTTAACAGCTTTCTTCCAGATTTTACCAATAATAAACATGGAATTTCTTGAGCTTTTTCAGATAGCAATATGTCTATGTTTAATTCATAAACCAAGTCACCAACATGTGAATTACAAAAAAAGGATCTGTATTCTGTACTAAGAAATTCCATTAAGAATGACCCTTTTTCTTGAAATGGTAAAATCAAAGGTTCTTGAAACCCTTAATTTAATTGCCAAATATATCTCAGCCTGAAAATTGGAATCCTGGCTAGCACTTTTGCAAGTATCCTTTGCTCCAGAGAGGATAGTTGGCAGTGGTTTTCTAGGTCAGTGGTCTCCAAACTTTTTTCATCGCGAACCTCTACCAGTAAAAGATTTTTGACCATGCATCCCCAATAAATGTATATTTATTAATTTATAATTTATAAATTATATACATGTGCTGCTGTATTTTGTACATTATAAAATATATACAAAAATAGAAATTTAAAAGGATGCAATAAAGATGAAATAAACACTATTTAAAAAATATTTTAATTTTGTTTATTTAATGGTGCAAAAAAATTTCTTCCTGCAACCCAATGGGTTGTATTGTGCACCCCATGAGTGCACAATCTCCCCCCATTTTGAGACCTCTGTTCTAGATAAAGCAAAGAAAACTGAGTATAGTAGGCAACCTTACCAATTCCTGTATCGCACAACAAATATTTTTTAATTCATTCCATTTCAGAGTGAGACTAATCAAAGGTGAAGGAAAAAAAAAAAAGAAAAAAAAAAAGTAAACATCCTGTAGAAGACAAGTCTATTATCTCATTGAAATTGTGGGGTATCATGTAAATCCAAATCGCACTTATTAAATCCTAGGCTAATTATGAGTAACTCTGCAGATAAAAACTATGAGATTTTTCTTCTTTCTTTGTTTAAACTGCTTTCTCCTCATATTTGAGTATTATCACCCAGACTGGCTGGTAGAAGGGAAACACACCTCAATTTCCAAGAAAAGTTTGTGAGAAGAGGTGTTCTAACCTTGTTGTGTTCAGAAAAGCCTTTCTTGGAAGGGTGCAGACCCAGAGTCCTCCTGCATTTACAGGAAAAAGGTCTGCAAATGACCAGAAAATGGATAATGAGAGAATAGATTTTATTTTAAGGGACCAAAAGGTGCCGTTATCCTGATATCAAACAGAGATATATATTATGCCTCTCGGTAGGTGTTTCATCACAAAAATAATGGAGTATATTTCAGTTTTTCTTGTTTCAGCTTCTATCCCAGTTGAAAGAAATATTGGATAAGTCCACATTAATAAGTAACTCAGTGCAAAAGGAGCTTATCCGAAAGGGAAAATGGTTGGTACTGAGATCTCCACGCCTTTTCTGTATCTGTTTTAAGGGGTATTTATTTAGCATTAGTTTTACTCTGTTCCTGTGGACTGCACGCCCTTTAGAAGTTGGAAAACAGACTCTGCTCCTGGAACACGTCTCTCAGCTTAGTTTCATCCATAAGTAAGTAAAACAGCTCACACGCTCAAAGACGGCTCCAATTTGCAATCCAAAATGCAGTAAGTGGGGGCAATTGGGAGATTCACTTCAAAACCACACAGTCTGAACTAAAACCTGAACGTAGATGTGCTGATTGGCTTGGGGATTCGTTTCAGCTTTTCCAAATGTCACACTGCGTATAGCTGTATTATTCTTAGCCTGTAGTTTGGATTTGCTACATTCTAGCAACAAAAACCATTCACAAAGAGATTGTGACAAAAAATGCATCTGCGATTACATATGTCAGCACAGAATCCACACTGTTTTTAAAGAAAGTGTAGAGAAGTGAAATATCACTCTCTTATTTCTTCTTTCCCACCCTCAGATGGGTAGATTGCTCTCCATAAATCAGGAAGCCAGTGTCTCCTCCATTTCATAACTTCGCTGTTTCTTGCAGTTCAAGGAGTCTTTCAGTAGGAATGTGGGAGTAACTCATGGCTTCTTTGAATCCTTTGAGTCTTTTATCTACACAAAGAGGAATTAATTCATTTAGTTATTAAGGGGCATAGTTAGAACAGTAGTCAATGGCAGAGCAGGGATAGGACAAGACTGTCCGAAATGGCCAAGAAAAGGTATAAATGCTGGACAGATTCTGTTTTCACAAGAAAGATTTTAATGGAGAAAGGTATAGGGGCAATTTACCTAGGATGCCTCCATGTTGGGAAATTTTTAACTGAGGCTGAATAATTTTCCATTTTAACTGAGACTGAATATTAGCTTGCTTTCATTTGTAACATATGATACAATTAGACAATATATTTCTGGTTCAAGGAGAAAATAATCCAGATATATTGTCTAATTCTATCATGTTACAAATGAAAGCAAGCTAATTCAATCCTGAATATTAAGGAGTTTCTTTTTCTCACCATAAAATGGAACTGTTCCCCTCCTTTATGTTCCATTGTCCCCCTTTGCTTACAGAATCACAGAATGACAGAATGGTTGAGGTGGAAAGGGACCTCTGGAGGTCGTCTGGTCCAACACCCCTGCTCAGGCAGGGGCACCTACAGTCAGTTGCCCAGGACTTACTTCTGCTATTTGTCATATAAACACATAGATTAACCACAGAAGGGGGAAAGCAAAGCAGAAATTTCTTCTCTTTTCTTGTGATTGAAACACCAGCATAACACAGTTCGGAGGCAAAAGCTTTTCTTCTGTCCGTTAAAGAGTCCAGTCCTTCGCTTAGCTCTCAATAGGAAACTGTACACTACTGTTTCGGACAAAACTGTTAGAAACATTTTTGTACTTGTTTGTCTTTTTTCATTTGGTAATCTCAATTTGAAAATGTTCCATAGCGCTTAAATTGCTCTCCAAATGGTTGATCTCCTTTCTGCCATGCTAACCATCCTCGGGCTGATCAGTGCCTTAGGTTACCCTAAAGATGTTAGACCACAGGAAGGAAGAGCTTCATACCTTGCTGAATAAAATATTCTGGGTTCAAACAAACTCCCATAAAAATCAATAGAAAAATTCAGCTGTGAAAGTGAAAGAGAGAGGCTGACAGAATGTGCTATATGAAGAGATTACCATGTAATGTATGGTTTAAAGCTACAAAGAATAACATTGTATGTACTGAATCAAGAAGCATAATTGTGTTTGGTTGTCTTGCTTATTTTTAAAAATAAGATTTCAGCCGACATCCAATAAAGAACTAATAAAAGTACATTTCTAATCTAAAAGTGTAGCTGTCATTCCATGTAATAAAATAAGGCAATGTTCTTACTCTAAGGAAAATGCAAAACTTCAAACTTCAAAAAAACTTAAACCCATTTAAAAATCAATAAGACTCTTACTGAGTAAAATCCAAAGGATTCCAAATAATACTAAGATGTCATTTGAGACAATTGTTTATGTCCACTATTCTTTCCCATTTTTTTTTTTTAACATTTCACGTCTTATTAAACGTGAATCTCTTTCTCCTTTTTCTAGTTTACTGCCTAGCAGAAATGTAAGGGTATGGTTATTGGCTAATTAAGGATGCAAAACCTACACACTAAGTATATAAATATTTACCCATAAAAAAACAGGGTAGGGAAAGGTGCATGCTGGCTGGTGAGCTACTACCTTTTTACAAAGAGTGTTTACCAAAACTCACATAAACAGGTTTTGCAACAAAATGAGACATAAAGCAAGAAAAGGTCATGGTGAAGACTTTAGTAGTAGTATGAAGTTCAAAATTTCAAACTCTCTACAGGAGAGCGATCTACTGAAGTAGAAAGTGATTTTGACCAGTCTCTAACTTACAAACCCTGTGTGCTTGCTTATAAGCACATTTGAACAAGCTTTTAGCGTCCGCCTATGTAGATCCTGAGATATCCCCTTAAGGTCTCATTAGCAGAACATGCAATGACCATTCCTCAGCTATTTTGTGGATGTCTCACTCCATAGTGATGGTGGCTGATTACCTTTTGGAGTATTTTAAACATACCTAGTATGTACCACATGCTATTTGTCAATGTTGTTGCAATGGTGTCCTTAAAATTGAGAGTGCCAATCAAAAGAGATCTAAGATCTTTAAAGATGAAAACACCATATTTCAAAAAAGGAAAAATGTTGAAACTTGCTGTTATATGATGTGACACAGCACATTTTCCCAGAACAGCAAAATCAGCTGTTTTGTGCCTACTTGTTCTATAACCTTTTTTTTTAAGTAACTATAACTTGAAACTTAGCCATATGGATGTCTGCATCATCCTGCAGAAGAAACATCTGACTGTCTATAAACACTCCTATGACTGTTTCCAACACTATCCTTTTTCAGTTACTCTACTGTTGCTTGACTAAGGCAGACTGCACATCTGTATTATAGAAGTTTATCCTATGGATAAATCAGGTGACTTTCAATTACTGCACAAATAAAGTTCTTTAACTTGAGGCAGGAGAGAATAGAGAAGGTCAGAGAAAGTGCTGAGAGGGTTAGAAAGCAGAGTAGGACAGTTTATTAAGATTAACAGCTGCAGACTTGATGTTGCTAATAGCAAGACAGATTACACAAAACATAGGTGAATCCTTTCATGCGGTCTTATATCTTCTATATTCCTTATTATAAGGAGCTTACTGCAGAGCACTGTAACTGAATCCTGTGCCCTTCTCACCCAGCAGGATTTTTAAATGCTCAAAGTCAGGCTGGCTGGGGTGGTGGCTGGCTGGCTGGTTGAATGGATGAATTCTGCTAGCCAAGACCACCTCAGACTTATCCTAATGTGCATGCTGCTATTGCTGACTGTCTGCATTTGTAAGCATCGATGGCAGATATATTCCTTATTTCAGAGTACAGAGCAGACAAACCACAGGCTGAAAAAAGCCCTGAGGTTCTTTGTTAAAACACGGCGATTTACTGAAAAAAAATCGAGGCTTCCTCATCATTCACCTTCTGGAATAGCAGCTGTGCTGTTCAGCGCTGTCCCAAAGGGAGTAGAGGTACCCGCCTCATTCAAAAGCTGCCCTAAAGACAACAGGTCGCCCGACTACGTTATTACTATCCACCAGCTAGCCGGCAGGCCCCGGGCTGGGGGACCCGACGCCGGCGGGCAGCCCGGCTCCCCCGGGGCGCACCCCCCCCCCGCGCCCGGCGCCGGG